AATTCTCCCATTGTGTGGACAAAGCATTAAATGACAACATATCACTTTTAGAGAGCCTTTCAAAACCACTGGAGAAGCAGGCTGTCCATCCAACAGAATCAACAATCGTTCCTGTTCAGTGATACTGCAGCTGCAGTCAGACTACAGAACTGTTGAAGAGCAGCAGTGCATGGCGATGTAAGCAGACTATGGCCACGGGCACGCAAGTTACACAACGTGTCGTGACGTCAGCTTTGCAAGATCATTCAGATGGAGCAGCTTTTTTATAAAGTACAACAGGATATGTAAATGACTGTATGTAGGCTTCAGTCGTCTGATTTTGATTTATTTTGACTTAAAACCTGACAGCCAGCCTCCCAGACCGCAACAAAGGTTTTCCAAAGTTCTTTTCAGTCAGTTTGGTCAAACTAAGGGTTTTAAATATGTGGACTAGAGTAAAACTAAATGGGAGTTTTGCATTAACAACTACGCTGTTTAATTGGAGATATAAACTGAAGATGTAACTAAACTGAACTATAACACTTTCTTTCTACAAATAACAGAGACCTAACCTAAAACATAATTATTTTAAATAATACCAAGCCCTGATGCCGGACAGCTATTTAAACCATTCTGGTTCTCATTTGGAGGATGTGGCTTCCATTTAGTCTGATGAAAATATTCATCTACGCAGAACAACAACAGCAGAAAGTGAACAAAGAGAAACTCTGTTGGACTGCTTATTGGATGTGGGACACGAACGCCTTAATCCATGTGTCCCAGCGTTTGATGTGAAAATGTATGCATGTGACAACTAGCATCGTCAGTATCTCAAACCGAAGCCGACATCTCAGAAGAATCCATGATTTAGATCCAGGTCTGACGTCTGGACTGCATCTGTCTGGTGTTTGTACCACATGTGGACTTTGAAGAGGAGTGTTGGACTGTTGACCCGGCTGAAGGCTAGTGTTGGTCAAAACCATATTTTTAAAGTATTATTTTTAAAGGGTTCCCATGGGTTCTTGGGGGGCTTTTCAAAGGAAGTGAGAGGTACTGTACATGTCAAACCTGAAACCAGTCAACCTGGTAACTGAGGATCCTCCAATAATGTGACATGTATACATTCGTCCACTCTTATTTTAAACTATTACAATTAAGACTGGTTGGTATTATATAGATTTTAAGTTGAACTGCACTGATGGTTGGTTAAAGAAAAGAGCGACTTCAGAACAAGGATTACAACTTTTGACCTGATAAAGATGAGTCACAGCCATTGACTCTTCCACAAAACTTAATCCAAGTTTGTGTTTCCTGCTCCAAATATGCCCTCAAGATTTCCAGAACTCACATTCACACAAAACACTTCTCACAGCTAGTTAAGCACCCCCACCCCTCTCCAAAAAGAAAGGAATAAACTGCTAGCACCGTATCCTTGGCTTTGACATTTCTTTGCATGAGCAATGTATTTGAACTTGGGCGCAGATGCAGGAGTCAGCAAACTTAGAGAAGAGCTTAATGAAGACCAAACGATGGTCAAACGACTTCCGAGCCTCAGACAAGTTCACATCCAGACGAACATCTGTCCCTGCACAGCACATTTACATTTCTCTCACTTTTGGATTTGATTAAAATGCTGCACCTGGTGAGACCTAATGTCAAATTATATCCTAAACAAAAAAACAGCAGGGCGCTGTCAAAGTCTATCACATGAGTTCGCGACATCTGGAGGATATTTTTTTAAACACATTTTTGAAACAAAGAAGAAGAAACAAAAAACAAGTAAAACAAAAACCTCATGCTCCATGTTTTGTAAACTTGGGCGTTTTAGGAGCAGGGCTGCGTTCTGGACAGCAGGGTTAGCCAGGTTAATCACGCTGTGATAACCAGAACATACGACACAAAACATTAAAGCTGGTGGCCTTTGGGTGAGTGGGAGGTTAAACCAATAACAGTTTTTCCTACTCAGTCAATGTGTGCGACAGGAGGATGAGAGGAACGGAAGGGAGAAAGACTCAAATTGGAGTAAAGTGAACTCATGTCTGATGTAATTAGCCTCCTGTTTAAACTCAGTCTAAATACAATCAAGACATGTTGGATTTGACCTTCGGGGAGGTAGGAGTGCAGCAACTACACAGCAGGCATCCATTGGCGCTGACTGACGAGTACCCATGTGTCCCCGCTACCTATAACTGCTTTGCATTGTCAAGCTAACTGAACAGGCAAATTCCCATGGATAGCCTACAATGCTTCCAAACACAAGGTATCTACAAATGAAACATTTGTTAGAATATAACCTATTGTGGTCCACTATTTTAAAGGATGTGTCGGATTGGTTTTAAAATGTGGAATGAGTGAAGTTGTTGTTGATTGGTTGGTTGTTAATCCCTATACTGGCTTTAAGGCATTTAGTGTAAATGTTGTTTGTGTAAACTTCCCCATCCTTACCTAAATATTAGCTCTGTTTAAGAAAAAGGAAAAGTGTAAATACTCAGACTGACTTGGCGTCCACGATGTCGTACAGGTTTTTCAAGAAGTCAGAGTTCAGTTGATTGTGTTCCGCCGTCAGTGTGTGGAAGTAAACCATCACATACTCCTTGACTGTGATGTGGTCCATCACATGGATGAAGTAGAGCAGAGCCTGTAAACACACACACACACATACCACGACAAACTTTAGGCCACATACTGATTTACAGACCTGAGATCTGCATTTTTTTTAATGCATTCTCTCCCCTATTTCACCCCAGGATTCACATAAAAAATATTTTAACAAAGGTCTTTCCTGACCTGAAGTGTTTTTGAGCAATGTTAATATTTGTCACTTAGTCTTAGCGAGCAAAAATATACAAAATATGGTTTTGCCGGGGTTTTTTTTTACCTCCGCAGTACATATTAGCTTAACTGTCTTTCTATTAAAATAGCAAAACAATGTTTGAACAAGTTGCACAGGCTAGAAAATAAGGTTTTGGAAAACACAAAGGAAGTGCTTTAATTTCATTTACCTTGAACGAATGCAATATGTTAAAAAAGACACATGAGACTGACTCACACACACATGCATCACATGTGAGTCAGACATGAGTTCAGTATGTTTATATAAACCACGTGAAGGCAACCTGTTGTACATTTGCAGCACTTTCGCACAGCGTAAACACATAAGGAAAGGCACAGAGTCACAAATAAACACAAATGCTTTAACTAAAATAAATGATTGGCAAACGCACAAACAAAAACACTGCAAATTCTATCAGAGATTAAATCAAAGATAAGGATGGCGCAATGTGTTTTTTTTTTATGCAGAAGTGCTTTGAAAGAACCTTTTTGAACTTTCTCACCTTTTCGAGGTCTATAAGATTCACAGGAATGTTTCGTCCAACCACCACCATCACAGTCCTGCCACAGATGTCCACGCCTGCACAGATGGTAACAGTGAGTAAAGAGACAGATCCACACTTCTTAATCTATACAAGGGTCAAAGGAAGGGAAATCAAACCAACAGACCAGAAATAGCAAAAAGATTAGTTTTATTACCTATTAAAACAAACCTGAAAATGACTAAACTTAGCAGCTAGCAGGTAAAAAAACACAACAAATTTGTAGCTAATTTGACCAAACAACGACAACAAAGCGAGCGCAGATACAGCCAGATGTTGGCTTAAACATATAAAAATATAACAGACACTTTTATTAAATGTTCTTGAAATACCTTGCAAACCTTTGAAATGATTCATCATGGATTTGTAATGTTCTTGAAATACCTTGCAAACCTTGTTAAATAACCGTGTTAAATAATTATTTCACAGATCTCTTAATTCTGCTTGTTAAATAAAAATATTTCCATTTTTTCCACTACTTCTTTTGAGACATAAACTGAACATAACTATTTTTAAACAAAACAGGCTGTTTGAACTCACCATCAATGTTTGGGACAATCACAATCAATTCAAAACTTTGACAATTTGCAGACCCACCCAGTAATGTAATGATAAAAAAAAAATCACAAGCAGATAAAACGATAAGGGGTAGGAACAACCTTGTTGTATTTCCTAGGCACACATTCTGCTTTATTGGTGTTGATGTGACAAATTTCGATGTCATCTGACATTTTACAGCCTGAATGAATCATTGATTTATTTCGAAATGTAATGAATCGTGAAAAAAACCCCAACATTGCTAGAGCTCAAATCGTGAAAAAAACCCCAACATTGCTAAGTTGAGGCTCTGAATGCTTATAGCAGCAAATGGGAACATCTGGAACAACAGTTACAATTTGATGATGTAATGACAGGGGCAATCAATATCACTAATATCACTGGTGTTTTCCAAAATATTAGTAACGGCTACAGTAACTTAACGACCCGCGTCCTAAATCTTTTCCGCGGGGGAACTTCAGCAGCAGAGGTTTGGACCCCGACTGGCCCTTCAGAACTTGACGTGCTGTTGACAAAGTCGATTTGGAAAGCCCTCAGAATTTATCAAAGGAACTGCAGCCCGGCCCTGGAAGGACTGAGAGCCATGTTTCCTCAAACTATCATTTTAGGTGAAATCTGTGTCCAATGTCCCAAAGTTACTGGGTTTTATTTCTCTGAGAAAGACAGTACAAAGAGGCAGAGCTGATTCAGCAGAAAGCAGACGTTTCCAATCAAGTCCAGGGGCAAACATGAAAATATAACTTGTCTGCTGTCAAAACCCGATACAGACTTTTTCTTTTTAACTTAAAAAGTAATGCAGGAGTTCTTGGTTTGATTTTATGCTAGTAACACAGTCTTGATCTTAGGGTAGTTCAACAGTTCTTCAAATTAGCTCATATTTGGGCTTATAGTGGTTCCAACAAACTAGGAAAGCACTAAAAAAAAGTGTGAGCGGATGTGCATTTACTGCTGCCCCTGTTTTTTGTTGAGTCAGAGAAAACTGGGAATTATTCTGAGCACAGCACAGTGGAAATAAAAACATTCTATTTACCTATTATTACAGGCATGACCAAAGTCTGGCCCCTGGGCCCTTCATGGCGCTTAGACAGGTTTTTATGACGCGTCTCTCCTAAATTTAATTTTTCACAGCATGAAAATAGTGAAAAATACTAGGTTCTTTAGCAGAATCTTTTTGCACCACAAATTGGAACCCAAGCAAGAATATAGATAACTTGGATACATTTTTGCTATCATTTTTACTAGCTATTAGTGATATCTAAGGACTTTTTTGTGATTCATTTTTTTTCTTAAATGTGAAACGTTAAGCTTATTTTGTATACATTGCTTTTGTAGGGTTTACCTAATGTTTAGCTTTTTTGTGGTTTAATGTTTTCATTATTTGATTAGATTTATGTTTTAAAATCAACATTAAGTCAGCATTGCTTAACATTTCAAGAGCAGTTTTATCAATGCAGTGTTATCTCTGGGCAGACCTTTAGCCATTCTAGGCTAACTTCTAGCTCTGTTTTGCAGATGAGAAATAAATAGTTAACAATAGTTATTTCTCAAGACTGAATTTCTTGTAATGTTTAGTTGGTATCTCATAATTATCCTTTTTAACTTAACTTTTGATAATTGTTCATATTTTACATTTTCACTGCCTAGCAATAACTATTAAACTTTCTTTGGCAAAAATTGGTTTGAGTTCTTATGTGCTATGTAATTAAGATTGACACATGCATTCTTGTGGAGTGTAAATTGATCAGAAGTATTAAGGTATTTATAATAAATCCACCTTGAATTCAATTTTTCTTTGTTTAAAAGAAGCATGTTGTCAATGTGCATAAGGACACATGGGTTCAGTAGTGCAGGGAACTGTAACTTATTTTTAAGGTTGAAGTTTAATTTAGACCCATCATAAAAAAAATATGTATTTTTTTATCCATTTTGTTTTCATATTTCACAGCAGATAAGTTTAAGCTTAGGTTTTCACCCATCTGGTTTAACTGTGCAGGTTATACATAGTCCAGGAATTTCTGAAATACAAGTTAAAGGTCAGAGGGTCAGTTTAAAACCGGAGCTGCAGAAAATAGCAACACTGCCTCCTACTGGTCATGGAACTTAGCTGCACCCTTTAACATCTACCTCACTACTGACCACAACATTATTTATTGTTAAAGTACTATTTAACATTTAAATAAAAAGACAATGACATACTGAGTGCTGTAATTAATGAAACTCAAATCAAATCCATTCATAATTCATCTTTTCCAACATACCTGTTTGATATAAGGCCTTCAAGGCGGCGATGTCCGACAGATCCTCAGCCCTCGCTCGACACAGCCAGCGATTATAACTGGAATAAACAAAATAAAACAAAAATTTCACAGTGACTTAGTTAATATCAGGAAAAAAAAACAAACTCAATATTTTTTCCCTTTATTTCAATTTGCTGATATTTTCCTTGGGGATTCTAATATTAATCCAACTCAGCTTTGCTGATAACATCTAAAACAGGAGCCGTGTTTTTCTTTGTCTAATACTTCATGTTCATGGTTGAGTTCTTACTTCCTCAGGTGTTGTTTCTGCATGGCCGCCTCCGACATCTGGCCTTGCAGGATCAGTTTCCTTTGTTTGTCCACATCTCCCTCCATCCGGGCAAAGGCGTGATTTCCCACCTGACCCAGATCCGAATCCAGGTTGTCCTCCTCAGAATCGTCTGCAAAGAGAGACAACAATAAGTGGTATTTTAAATTCCCTTCAGTCAGTGTACATACACTTTCGCCCTCTGTCTGTATTTTCTCTTCTTCACGCAAGGTGTTATGACAGCAGGGGAAAGGCCAATGCCACTAGGTGGCAGTAAGGAAAATAACAATGCCTATGCCTTATATTAATCCAACGTTTGGAAGACAAGCTGCCTAACCTATGATCTACAATTTTGAGATCATCACCTACAAGAAAAAACACATTTCTGGAACCCTGTTAATCTTTAAACTTTCCTTGAAGACTTGTGTGTTATTTTCAACAGTTGATAACATGTTTATTTATTTCATTGTTGTGTGTTTTCTTTTCCTGCTCCTCATATATTCACAAGGTTGACAGTGTTATTTATGTTGGTTTGCAGAAAGGCTGTGATTAAGACCATAAAGTCAAGCTCACAGAATCCAGGCTTTTTTTGTATGACCACACCTCCTACTATAAGCATGTCTACGGATTTATCCAGGTCCAAGCTCACATGTGTTGTATATCAGAGGTGTGTACATCAGCCTGTTCTTATTGAGATTCTCTCTTTTAGGCTGTCTGCTTGCTTTGCATAAACACCCCAAAGCCACAGTGCATCTCTTTGAAGCACCACTGCAGCTGACATCAGACTGGAAGCCGGTAGAGTCAACAGCCTCAAGAACGAAACCACAAACACGCGTGCACACAAAACACATGGGTTGGTGTTACTTTCATGAGTCTCTTTGCCCAAACTAACATTTAGTCAGATGTGTAAGAAAAACTGTAGGTTGGCGAACAGGAGGTCCCACAAAGTATAGTTTATATGACAGTTTATGGCTTAAAACGTGCAGTTTAACTGACACGACCAAGAGAGAAAAATATCCCTTCTATTTTTTGACCTTCTACTTTAAAGCCAACTGAGCCAATCAGTGGACACATGAAGGTAACTTTTGGCCGTTCACACCTTTTCTTTATGTTTTCTGATATTTACAGTACTGCCACTATAGTAGCTTGTTACCACTGACCCTGATATACTTGCAGGAATTGAAGAAAGACACACAGAAAGATCATCTTCAATAGCCCTGAGTCTCTCTCTCTTTGTTTTTTTGTTTTTACAGCCATCTGCTGGCACACACTGGAAGAGTCTTAAATTGTTCTGTCACATTGACCAAGAAAGACAAATTATTTGAAGTAAGCTTTCAGAACAATTACCGTATTTTCCGGACTATAGAGCGCACCTGAACATAAGCCGTAAGTACAAAAGTACAAAAAAATACTATAAATTTACATATATAAGCCGCACCGGATTATAAGCCGCCGATATCCAGGTACCCAAAAACTAGCATGTTCTTCTTTGCACTGACTTCCCCTCTCTGTCTCATATTTGCACTTCCTGCTAGAACGCCCTCTGGCGGCTGAAGAAAAATCCATAGAAAAGCCGCATCTTTGTATAAGCCGCATGGTTCAAAGCATCGGAAAAAAGTAGCGGTGTATAGTCCGGAAAATACTGCAAGTGAACACGGACTATTTTTAACAGTAACGGTATACCACGAGCCATGAGAGGCTAGTGGTTGTGAATTACTAGAAGTCAGGAAGACATGACAGGAAGTAATGAACTATCACACAGATGAAAAACATTGATGGAAAAAATAAATTTCTCTCCTAATTTAAAACTTCAACCTGACAGGACCTTTTTGTTTAATTTCACTAATTAGACAAATATAAATACAAAATTAATTTCTTTTGAAGTTAAGGTATGATTATGAATACAGCTTGCCTTTTTCAAACAACAACAAAAAACTGCTCTGGGTTTGAAAGGTTCATGTCAACAACTTGAACTCTTCTTAACATGCAGATGATAGACTGTGGAAAAACACGACAAACTCCAAAAAGGAATCACTTTTTGAATGTACGAGTGTGTGTGTGCGCATGTGAACGGGTGAAATGTTGTGCATGTGTGACTGTGTGGATCCAAGCAGCCAGATGTTCCACCGACACGGTTACTGGATATTCTCTTACATTTCACTTCCATGTTTGCTGCCTGGCTCAGTGAACAGCTGAACACAAACATTTGGTTATGACCGAAACTGTGACCTTTGTCCAGTCACAGTGGATGGTTCGGCTGACACCGTGTTATCTAGTGAACTGTGATGTGGAGTGGGTGGATTAAACAACTATTCTTTTTTTTACTCAACTTGTTTACTGGAGAATTTATGTCTATAATATAACGTTTATTATGATCATCACTGCAAATATAAAATATATAGCTTAACTATCTTCTTAAACTCTTTTGTTGCTCGTTTCTCCAGTTTTTCATGTATTTCTATTCTTTTCATATTGAAAAATTAAATACTGAACGGCTTAAACCACATTAGGATTTGAAGTTGAAGTTGTGCACCTTCCAGAGTTCCGGGCTTCTCTGCAATGCGGATCTGCCTTTCTGGGACAACGGGTTCACCCTCGGAGTTGCCGATGTCAGCGGGGATAAGAGGCAGGCAGAACCTCTCCTCTTCCTCAGAGCGAGGGTAGTAGAGAGGCAGCAGCTTCTTATACATAGACTGGAAAAAAAACAAAAAACAAAAAAACAAACACAATATAAAAACCAGTTTTCACACAAAGCCACAAAAATAGACCTATTTGAAGATGCTCCAACCCAGTCATATGAAGCAAATGGATTGAGTAATAACCAGGGATGGCTCGATGCAACATTTTCATGTTCAATACCAATACTGCAACTTAGAGTATCTGCCAATACCAATATCAATCCGATACCTTATTTTCTCCTCCAGCATGCTTTGGGCTTAGGTATTGGATCAAATGGGCTATAGTTGTTTTTTTTTATTATTATTTTCAATCCTCAAATTTTGACCAATATCGGATGGATACAAATCCTGAGTATTGGCTCGAGACATCCCTTGTTTATGAAATGTGACCAAAAGTTTATTCCGTGACCACTTGTGAATAAATAGCAGAACTATTAAATAAATAGCAATAAATATGAATAGCAACAGGGTTGTCAAAGCCTCTTTTCTCAGAGTTTATTCATATAACTCCATATAAATAATACAAACCTCTTCTGTCTCTGACACAGCAAACACCACAGCCTCAATGCTGTTTCCATAATTCTCCAGGAACCTGCGCACCGTTCCTGTAAACACACATTAGCAGACATAAACACATACATACACATACACATGTCTCTGGACATATGAAGACACACCGCAGACCTTTATAGAAATGAGACATGTGGATTTGAAAATCAAATTACAAACATCCAAACACGGAATGCCATTGTCATAACAGTCCAGACATATGACTGAGACAGAATCTGCACATGAAACAAAAAGGATCAGTGAACGCGGTAACTGTTTCCATAATCATATAACTAGATTAAAATGAGCTAACAGGTAGCCAGACACATAGGAGGCAGTGTGTGCGTGTGTGTTTTAATTAAATGTATGTCTGCCTCCTGGTGAATTAAATTTGAGTAAATACAGAAGAGAACCATTTTTGTGCATGTGTTAGGGTGTGTGTGTGTTTGTCTTTGTGGGTCTGGAGACGTGAGAGCTGTTATTTTCTGGTCTCTGAGAAAATTATCTGTGTGTGAGTGTTTGTGCGTGTATGTGTATCGTACTGAAAGCAATGTGTGTAGCATCCTCCAGCGGGTAGCCTCTTTTGGTGGTGCTCACCACGCACAAGCCGACAGATGCCATTGACTGCTCTCTGTGGAGGCGACAACAAAATGATAGTCTTACATTCTCAATACTGTACAGCAGCAACATTAAACAAACATTAAAAAATGCAGACATGAAGCAGTTTAACGGCTCTGTGCTTCTGTTCAAAAAGACCAAACAAAGGGTCTTTTACACATTCCTTAAGTTATGTATATAACAGGAGCACAATCATAATAATAATAGGCCACCATAACAGGCCACCATCTGAAATACAGCGGCTTCATGAGGTCGTCTGCAGTAGAAACTAATTTAATTTATATTAAAGCTAATGGAGGGGGGTAATATTCTGGGAATAAACTCTGTGTCCTGAACTGCTGATGTTTCATTGTAACACTTAATGAGAAACAAATGATGACACAAAAATGTATAGGATAAACAGTCATTGTAACAGGAGCGTTTCAAGTTAATTTTTTTTCAATCTTTGTGATCTTTGGCTGCTAATAATGTTGTCACTGCTTATCTGCTGAACTACCAACTGTTGTTGAACTCTTGTGTCTTACGCAGCCAGCTGCATGATGTTCCTATAGCAGCTGTAGAGGGAGCTCTCAGCTGCTGTCCTGTATTTGGTCTTGAACTTTGGTCCCACAGTGTGGATGATGAACCGTGATGCCAGGTTGAAGCCTTTGGTGAGCTTGGCCTCTCCTGTCCGACATCCTGCACACAATAAACCAAAACAGCCAATTCAAATCTACGAAATGCTTTAATTTTTTCTTTTTTTCAAAAATGTTAAAAGAACTTTGGTGAGCAAACCTTAAGAGTTTTGCCAGTGATGACTTTCATAACCAAGGAAAAAACTTAATTGTAGCACAATGTGTTCAGGTAAACTAGTTGAAATAAGCAATGGTGGCTTTTTCAAGAGATGTTTGAACGACTTACAGAAGTTACTATATTTTTATATTTTATATTATATATTTTTTCAATTTGTCTGAGAACTTCTTGACTTACCCTCATATCAAGTTACCGAGAGCTGCAGGTTTTTATATTAACAAAGTCACACAAAATTGACCTAAACAGTTAATGTAGTTTCACTTGAACAGTTGTAGATATTTTAGTCGGGCTGTTTTTGAACACAAAAGTTTTCCGCCCCCTTGTGTCCAGGCTGAATAGTCATCATTTTGTGTAGATCAAGTGACTAGTTGAATATTAAATAAGCGATTATTTAAAATTATGAGTAATCTTTGAAAAAAAGAACAGCCTTTCGCTTTAGGTCTGATGAAAACTGGATTGAAATGTTACATTATCTGATTCATTTTATATTTAAGTCCTGATGTTTTTTTTATTTTTTATTAATAATACTTTCATATTATTTACATTCCTCAATTCTTTCATCAGCTGACTACTGTACATGAACAAATCAAACATCACTTTTTTTTACTTTTTTTAGACTTGATGCGTCATGTGCCTGGTTATGAATGAACTATATTCTCTTTTTCAGGCATCAAAAAATCCCTCAGCTAGAAGCAACTGGAGCTTTGTCTCGTTAATGTAATTTCAATTCTTATAAAAAAGGCTTCTGCCGTTCTGAGGAGACCTGAGAAGAACTGAGAAAACCTCTGATACTGCTCGCAGGAGACATGAAATATCCACAAATCAACCACACGTCTGTCATACATCTGCTTTAAAACCATATTTAAAACTCTAACATTACCTTTGAGTTTGAGAAGCTCATCCCGCAGCTCGGGCCCTGCGAGTTGATGAATGCTTTCGGAAACAGGGTTTTTGTCATTTAGAGACTCATTACTGGTGTTTACGATGGCTGTGCAGTTAAGTAGGGCGATGTCCCCGGCGCTGTAGGAAAAATGAGAAACATTACCACAATTTAGTACCACAAATACTAATGAAACAATAATGCCACAGCCAACAGCAACAGTGCACGCCCACTACCAGTTTGTTGCCCTAAAAATCAGGCATACTTTTAAAACCCAACCATAGAAATACGAAATATTTCTTTTTGAATGCCAACCTATTATTAAACATCAAATATGTTTTACGTAAAGCTCCATTTTTTGACTGACTGAAAAAAGGAAAAATGGCTGCTGTCACCCACAGTATCCAATAACATTTATCCTCAGTTTAGTTAAGTTTTATTAAGAATTTAAAGCAGAAGACACTTAGTCAGTAAACATGCCCCTCTGGGGTTATATGAAACCAACAAAGAGGAACTTCTTGTCCATGTGTTAAGAGACTGGTCACAAGACCAGTTACAGCATCTCTGAACGCATTCATTTAAACACGTGCCACCCATTTCCTCTCATCAGTCCTTGCTGAAAGAACATCTCCTTCATAGAATTAAGAGGATGAATCCATGTATTTGCTGCAAATATTCCTGGTGATGAAAAGTAGCAATAATTGCTTGTCCTTAAGTGTAGCTTTGTATAAACTGTGACACGATGACGCATTTATTAAAGAGCTCATGTCAAAGTGAAAGGAGCACTGGTATGCAGGATCTTTTAGTTAGAGTTAAAAGGATTTGCCCATGAAAAGTCATAATCGCTGTCTAATTACTTTAGTGTGCAGGAGCATATTTATGGCAACATTAGTCAGCATTTCCATTAGATAACAACTTTATAAGGTTTTTCTAAATTGCAAATACATTTTTGTAAACCCTTCCGACATTGCCAACTTTTTTGTACTAGCATGAAAGAAAAGCGCCACTCAGAGGGGTTGAATCATCCCTGTTGTTGTTGATGTTCATGTTAGACAACAGGACTGGACAGAGCCCATTGAACTACGCAAAGTCTCAATGAAAAATGTCAGGTGTTTAGCCATTAGTCATGTGATCTTCACAAAGAGGATTTTAAAGCAACGTGGACTCTAGTCTTGACTGATGGTGTTGAACACGTGGTCAGGCATAAAGCAGTGTTTGTACTATGGTCTCAGAGCTGATGATTATGTTAGAGGTGGAGAATAGCTGATATAAAAAAATTAAAGGACCCAAACCTGGACATGTCGCCAAGATGTATTTACAACAAGAAAACAAGCGCTTTTAATTATGTAGCAGGGACATCTCGCTGTGTCTAATGTCTGGATGCTGCACAGTTTGGGAAGATGAAAAAACATAGCCTTGAAACAAGACTTAGACGCTCAATTAAAACTACACATAGAGTAATGCAGTGTGGTGAATTTGTCAAAACACTTTACTGGAACTACAGCGACAACAGACTACTACTAATATTTCTCTCCTTTGCAACATTTTTTAGGTTTAGGCCACAAGTAATAGTTGTACACATTTTGGGTTTTCTAGAAGATTCTGATATTTAAAAAAGGCACAGCAACATCACAGAGCAGAGGTATAGAGTACTTGTAACTTACAAAAGCATGATCTTCCTGTTGATGTCAGGTCTGAAGGGGAACGGAGAAGGAAAAGCCTGTTGGCTGAGCAGGCTGTCGCTCTGTTCCTGCACCATTCCTCCTACATCTTCGCCAAATTGCTGCTGCCACGTAGGAAGTGTCTGAATGTCTACAAACTGAGAGCGAGCACCCAGAGGATCCATCTCCTCTGGTACTGCAGGTAAATCTCCGTTCAACTTAACTGTTGGCACAGAAAAATGTGAAAGATTTGATTAAAATCAGATTATACAGAAATGTCTTATATTATTAATCATTATTATATGTCTAATATTATTCATGTAAAGTTGTATATTTTATCATTTCAGCTATTTTTAGGACAGCAGAAAGTGGGCAGCATGGTTCTCTTGTGCAGGTGTGGACACACTGATGGTTAGCAAGAATTCTTATGATATAAAAACTACAAATTTTTGCTATAGTGCAATTCCTGAACATTTGAAAAATAATTATCTTCATTAACTTTTGTGTAAGAGTTTTTAGATTTGGGTGCTGGAGGAGAAAAGAACGTACCGGATTTATTTTAGCATCAGCAGATACTCCAAATTGCAGTATAGGTATCGGACAAGAAAAAGGTGTATTGAGCCATCCCTAGTAGTAACAAGTCAAACTGTTGGCTTTTAAAACCAAAAATGTAAGTGTTACTATGGCAAGGTCATGTCAGTCAAGTACATGCGTGAGTTGGATTTACAGTTGTATACTCATTTTAAAGTTTGGGTTCTAATGGTGACAGGCCAATATTTGCCCACAAGTACTTCTTTGGATCACTTTTGTTCCATAACTTATCAAATTTGTGCTAAACAAATTTAAATCTGATGAAATTGAAGCCCTTGAGGAAGTTTGCTGCATTCAATTGATTTGAAAATTAACGTTGGGTTTTCTGAAATGTCTTTCTGTTTTCTGTTATGTTGTTGTGTTTTTATGTCCTAGTGTTTTGAACTTTAGGGCCACCGTAGATACTATGTTGTTGTGTTTTTATGTCCTAGTGCTTTGAACTTTAGGGCCACCGTAGATATTAGTACATTGCCGATATTTACCATTATACAGTACCTCACTAATATAAGAAATGGGCAGGTAACTTTTCTGCTCATGTTTAAATTCATTGAACCTCACAAATGAACGCTTTAAACATACTAAAAAAACTTTGACTAAACCGACATAATTTAGACTTGTGAGAACTGACACAAAATAAAAAAAAAACACAGTCGCCACATACCTTAACGACCCAATTGTACTTCCTCCAGTCAGAGGTGATAGTCACGCCAGAAAAAAATATTACAAAAGAAATTAAATTTTGACACGACGTGTAAAGACTACGTGTATGGTCATTCTTCTAGTGTTCCTTAGATTAGATAGAAGATTCGCAGGGAAAAGGCCAACAACTGACTTTAAAAGATGACAATTAAACAGGTTTTCACATTAAGCTAACGAGCTAGGTGTTTCGGGCTCTCAAGTCAATGTAATCAGCGTGAACTAAATTATTTCCGGATTCTGATTTCGAAATAAGACAGCAGAGGAAGGACGGGCTTTATCCCGGAAGAAAACAGAATCGAAATTAATCACTCCGTAATAAACACGTCAGACGAATAGTTATGAGATTCTAATTTCTAGTGGGTTTACTTTATATTTTTATTTCGATATAATTAAATTTGAATTAAAGTGTATAGTTGGAATTATTTGCAATTGATTCATTGAATCAGCTATGGTTATACGCTTTTATTTTGTAACACGGTACCGGGTTTTTAGTATAACACCTATTTGCCTTTAAATCTCTCTCTTGTCCATATCAGCTGACTAGCAGCACGAGAGAGACCTGAGTAATCCATTCAAAATCTTTTATATTTTAATAAGTAAACATCAAAGTATAAACGCGTTTAATATAACAATTGAACGATATAATTATTTTATTTTTATTATTTATTTTATTTTGTTGTTCCAGACCAAAACAACGGAAACAGAAAACTCGAACGAACATAACAACACACGAAAACAGATTTTAAACTAAGGAAATGTGAATTCTACTCTCAGACTTTATACCTCGAATTAGACAAAGACATAAATTAGGCTACATTTATAAATTAAGTTGGCGAATGTAATTTTATCAGTTCGATGTGTGATCGATTGGTTGCCACTACGAGTGCACGGTAGTAGGAAATACACGCAGCAGAGGTTTGCTAACAGCAGTACATCGGAGGTAAGAAGATGTAAAATTAGGAGGTTAACGCTTACAAAATCAATGTATAGTTATAATCATGTCAACAACATTTATATAATCTAATTTGCACTGTGAGTAATTTTTCGTACACGTTTGGTCCACAAACTTCACCACGTGGGTTTAGCGACAACCGATGCAATGCCTGTGTGCTCGAATACATATACACCGTTTTCAAGGCGGACGGGGTTTGCTGATGGTTCAGTTAATTTGCCCGGTCTCGTGCGCTAACCCCGACCACTCCGGGAAAAGCCCCAAACTAAAACAAGCGCTCACCAACCAATGCCAACCCAAAAGTAGGACAGAAACACAGAATTTGGAATTAAATTACTAACATTTACGATATACAGTATATATACAATGTTAACAATCTTCAGAGTCTCGTTAAAACGATAATCTGAAAAAACTACAATAACGGGACATCACAAGAAATGTCAACATCGAGAAACCATATAATAAAAACAAGCTACTTTGCTAGTTGTTGTTGTTGATACAAATATTCTTAAGCGTCGGTGAAAGGTACTTTTAGGAGTTCATACCTGCTTGTTGATTCGTAATCATATGTTAGTTCATTACATCAACATCACATCTACTCATCTACTGTATTAGGTACATCCTGCTTCTGTCAGGTCCCTTAGCCTTGAACTGTCCTAATTGTAGAATACATAAACCCAGCTAAGTACGCTGTATTATTAAATTTCGAGTGGATAAGCCTATAATAGTAAGCTGTTGTTAGCAGCTACAGCATAACACGACTACATAAACCCAGCAATAACTACTACTACATTAATAACTACTACTGTATTACTCTACATCTTTTGGAAACAGGAAGCAGAGGTTTGAGTCCCAAAGCAGCTGGTCATGGGTTTGACCAAACAATACCTGCGCTATGTTTCAAGCGCAGTCTTTGGAGTAATTGGCAGCCAGAAAGCCAACATTTCGTATGTGAAGCTCAGAGGAGGAGAGAAGGGACGCTATGTGGCTGTGGCAGCATGTGAGCATGTCTTCATCTGGGATGTTCGAAAAGGAGAGAAGGTGAGACTTCATTAAGAGCATATGTTCATTGTATGTCTCAAAATCAGATCCCATCCATTAACTGGGTTTTCCTCCCTTTACGCAGGTTCTGATCCTGCAGGGGCAGAAACACGAGGTGACATTCCTCTGTCCGTCACCTGATGGTGTCCATATCGCTGTTGGTTATGAGGATGGTGCTGTGCGAATCTTTAACCTGATGAATGGTGAAAGCAACGTCTCCTTTAATGGACACAAGTCAGCTGTCACAGTGATACGTTATGATGTATTGGGAGCAAGGCTCGTCACTGGGTCCAAGGTAGGGCAGGGCAGGCTGAGATGTTTGTACATTTATGCTTCTACGCCTAATACTTATTAGGTTGGGTTGTGCGAAATGTACATACACAACAACAGAATGGTCTTTTACAACCTATGTGCAATGGGATACAAACATTTGGAGGCATTTCTCCTGCAGGACACAGATGTGATTGTGTGGGACATCATCAACGAGTGTGGTCTGTACCGACTTCGAGGACACAAAGACGTCATCACACAGGCCTTGTTCGTCAAAGACAAGAATCTCCTGGTCACCAGGTAAGGCGTGTCTCTACAGCAAAAATAAATGATTGAAGTTGATCAAAGACCACATCATTTTAACCTCCTATCGCTCTCCTTTGCTGTTTCTAGTTCTAAGGACAACTTTGTGAAGTGGTGGGATCTGGACACACAGCACTGCTTTAACACCATGGTGGGCCATCGCAGTGAGGTGAGGGACTGTTGTACAATTCTGACTATGTGACCAGATCACATAGTCAGGAATGTGGTTTTCACACAATGTGGAAAAATCACCAAGGGAACACATTATACGTATGTTATTCATTTTTACCACCTAAACTATGTGCTAGGTCATGGGGGGAGTTGCCGAAGGCCTCTGTTTGACCCAGTGCTGATTGCATGTGTGAAAATAAAATAATAAAGGGTCCTGGAAAAGTCATTTGTTTTAAGTTGCAAAACCTTAGTCCTACATTAGTATTATTTTTGTCCCCAATCGGCAGCGTCCTTCACATAAGAAACAGCTGAATCTATTTAACTACCTTATTATCTGTGTTAAATACATGGTCACACACACAGGTATCACTTCCTTATCTCCTCATTTATGTCACCTTTTTCACTTCTTCTGAAGCAGAAAATGTGGTTCCAGCTGACTGACACTTTTCTATGTTAGTGATTTGTGCCAGTGTAACTTATTTAAGTAATGCAAACAGGATCTATAAGCTGCATTAAAAAAAAAATATCAATGACTGCGACCTTTCAGATGAATTATCAATTATAACAGACATTAAACTGGAATGTTGATGTGATGATAGAACACAAATAACACCTAACAATATTAACTTCCATCTTGTACATTAGAAATGAAATGTATTCACTGTGTGTGTGCGCAGGTATGGGGTATGGTGCTGCTCAACCAAGAGAGCAGGTTGTTAACAGGCTCCGCAGACAGTGAACTGAGAGCCTGGGACATTCAGTACATTCAGGAGGTAAGGACACTTCTGCATTTCTACACTCTTAACACAGTTGATGAAGTGACTACGATAAACATAAAAAACCCAACAGAGTGCCTGAATTTGCAGCTCGAATAATTGTTCCGTAATTCATCCTAAACAAACAAAAAATGATAATTTCAATCTTCTTATTATCAGTTCAGTATCACTTATCACTTCTTATTACGCTCCTTCATTGCTAATGTCTTACTGAGCTCAGTGGATTCACAAGCTGTACCACAGATGGTCACCAGGTGGTATTCAGATGGCTTGGCCTCAGTTTCACAACCTGTCATATCATCCATACTTTATAAAAACCTGTGACTCTTACAGCGCAGTTGACTCTACCACAGTATGGTTTTAGTTAGGCCTGATCTGGCATTTATGTCTGCAGCTGTGTCTAGCCTCCATTGAACCAAGTGTGTCTACATTTTAAGAAATGGTATGAAAATATATATTAAAAAATGAAAATAAAAAATAAATAAAAAAAGTAGTTTATGGAAAAATTACATTGTGAAAATTAGGGCTGTCAACATTAACACTAAATATTGATTGTCCGTCTGTGTTCCTGTTCTCAGGAGAAAGCTGAGGGTGAGCCTCAAGAGAAGAAGGGGAAAACTCTGCTGGATGATGATGATGATGATGATGACAAAGACGCAGATGAAGGTGTTGAAGAGGTAAAGGTCTATTGTTTAATATAATATGGTTAATAATTGCCTTTTTCCTGTATATATTTTTAACTTTAAATGTATCTTTTTTTTTTTCATTTTTCAGAGGATCTTAAGGTGTAAAAAAGCAGGTTCCATCCTACGGGAGGCCAGAGACAGAGTGGTGTCCCTCACGATGGACACAAGAGCCAGAGTCATCGCCTGCCATGTGAGTATCTGGACATATGCAGTAAATACTGTGTCTGTAAAAATATTTTTGTCCCGCCATTGATCCTCGAGAAGTCCTAAAAGCCTGGAACAGATTTCAAGCTTCCAAAAATCATAAATGAGGGGAAAAGAAACAGTTTTATCTTTCATGAATGAAGGAGAATCCAAACTTGACTTGAAAGATATCCTCATATGAGACAGGGAGAATTTAGTGATTTATAGAGGGATCCACTGCCATCTAACTTATTTTAAAAGGTTCCTGCCAGTCACAGACAAGTTTCACTCTTTTTGTAGAAACTGTGTCTCCTGTTATCACTTTCTGTTCCTTCCACATGTCAAAATATTTCCATGTGATTTACTTTGCCATGCAAACTGTTTGTAGCCTGGTTAGTTATTAAGTTATTTATCCCTGAGTTGTTTTCCTTTCATGCAGGCACAGACTCTGTCATCGTTCTTCAGCTGGCTCTCAGCTGTTTACTGTGATTTTAATGAGTGCAATCAGGCGGCTGACAAGTTATTTATGAAGCTGGGACCTAATTAGATCCTTAGCCTTTGAGTTTAGGGTCTGGTCACTTTAAACAAACATTATCTATACTATACAAGTTAAACATTGGATACAACAACTGAATTTTTAATTCCGTTTTCTCGTCAGGGCAACGACTCAGTGCTGGAGCTCTTCTCGGTGCTGACAGAGGAGGAAGTGAAGAAGAAAATGGCCAAGAAGCTGAAGAAAGTCAAAAAGAAGGCAGCCAAGTGAGCTCAAAGCAAACTCAACAGAAATCTTCCTCTTTATATATGCTGTGTTAGCAACACATTCCTCATAAAAAGAGCACGAACCAAAACCACTAATCAGGCTAAAAAGCTAGCTCTCGATTGACAGTTGTTCGTATTATTTGTATTGGATTTGCATTCATGCACAGACTGTCCATATATTTTTTGCTGATGCCACTCCCTCATCACTGTAGAGCTCAAGAAGATGGAGGAGAGGAAGCAGGGGAGCCAGTGGTGGAGAAGATGCTGAAAGACGAGATCGTCAGACTGGTAAATATCAAGGCCTCCTCCAAGATCAGGTCAGTACCATGTGGTGGTGGAGGAAAACGGAATGACATGCTGAGTCAACGTGCATTTTCAAATTCCTCTAACGCTGCTACATCTCCGTCCTCTCACAGATGGGTGGACTGCATTTCCTGCGCAGGAAATGAGTTGAAGCTGGCTCTGCTGCTGCAGAACAACACGGTCGAAACCTATAGCTTAAAGATGTCGGACAAGACGCCCACAGCCAATAAGACGGCTCGGCTCACACTTGGCGGCCACCGCACTGACGTGCGTACTTTGGCCTTTAGCTCAGACAACCTGGCCGTTCTGTCTGCATCTGGGGACACAGTCAAAGTCTGGAACAGGTGAAGATAGACTGAAAAAAAATGTCTTGAGTTTTTTTTCCCCCCCATCTTCTTTTATTTGATGGTTTAATCTGCTGCCACAGATCAACTCTGCAGGTGATTCGAACCATGTCCTGTGAATACGCCCTCTGCTCCCTCTTTGTACCAGGAGACAGACAGATCATCTTAGGAACTAAGGTATTCACTCGTCTACACACACACACACGCCATCTGACTCAGTGTTAAAATGTTCCTGCAGTTGTCCACATCTGGTGTGTTTATAATTCTCCAGACATTTCCAAAGGAATTCTTTTTTGCCATAGCCAGAACTCAAAATACCAAAGAAATATCCAAATGAACTCACAAAGGAAGGTCCTAGTAATACAATGGTTCCTCGTCTGAATGTCCCTGAGACTCGCCTGTTATATTCAGATCAAAACTCTGACAATTACCCCTACATATTTTAAGTGCTTTAAGGTAGAGATTTACTACCACATGTTTATTTTATGCAAAAAACAAAACAAAACAAAAAACAAAACAGTCAAAAGTCACTGTTGCCTTCACAGAACACTTACATATAATTCTGCAAACTCTCAAACGTCGTTTCAGACTTAGATCTACAGAATGCAGGTGTTATGCAGTGCTTTGCAATTTAGTGCTGTTGCTTGTGTCTCACTGCCCCCGTGTGGAATAAAATTGGAACTGCACAGTTTGAAGCCTATCAGACTAAACCTTATCCATCCGGATATCAGGAGTTTTGCACGACAACCCATTTCAGATTAACAACTAATAATTGGTGGGTTTTTTTCCTGACAGACTGGTAAACTGCAGATTTTCGAACTGGCCTCAGGAAGTCTCCTGGAGACTGTGGACGCTCACAATGGTGCTCTATGGTCTCTGTGTTTGGCCCCGGACCAGGTGTGAAATCAGTCACAGTCACAACCACACCTGCTCTGTAACTCTGATCTGTTAAGATCCTAGACTCATGCTCTTTTCTTTTAATTTTATAGAGAGGGATTGTGACAGGAAGTGCAGACAAAACAGTCAAATTCTGGGAGTTCGAGCTGGTCAAAGATGAAGGAAGTGGACAAAAGTAAGTGGCGTTTAGGACGCTGCGTATAACTGTCAGGTTGCATCTTCAGTGAAGCATCTTAAAACTGTGATGTTTTTGTGTGTTTGTGTACGCAGGAGGCTGACGGTGAAACACACTCGTACACTGCAGCTGGAGGAGGACGTTTTGTGTGTAAAGTTTTCTCCCGACCACAGACTGTTGGCTGTCTCTCTGTTGGACTGTACTGTCAAAATCTTCTACACCGACACGTTGAAGGTACACACAGGCAGACACGCACAAGTTCCCAAAAAAGACAATGTAGCGCAATCTAATTATCCAATATAGCTACAACCAGGGAGTGTAAACAAAGTGTTCTATTGTTGTATAGTGCCACGTGAGGACTAGTTCCCGCGTCAAATTTGTTTTATCGCCATACGTTGGAATCATGGAACAGGAATAAATTTATTGGGGATGACGACGTTACCACGAAACGTCAAAAAACCAAGGCTCTTCTGTATATATTCTGTATATCAAAAAACCAAGGCTCTTCTGTATATAAATATTTTATGTATGTAGAGCCTTTCCAGTTTTATCAGATGGCTCTGTTCAGCCAGTTCTTGATTAAAATAGTATTATACTAAAATGATCGATATCGTTCAAACAGTTTTTATCATTACTTCATTACAATCAATGTTTTTGTGCTCCACTACTTCTTTAGTTCTTCTTGTCCCTGTATGGACACAAGCTGCCTGTTCTCTGCCTGGACATCTCACATGTGAGTAGTATGCCCCCTATCACCGGTGATGACTGTCTTAGATTTTCTTCGACTAATATTACTGCTGCGGTAGAGGTTCAAACTTTTGCTGTGGTCCAACAGGACAGCATGATCATCGCTACTGGATCTGCAGACAGGAATGTGAAGATCTGGGGTCTGGACTTTGGCGACTGTCATAGATCCATGTTTGCTCATGATGACAGGTATGAAATAAACCAGAGTAGCCTGAGGGTTTGCCCAAAGATGATCTGACGGACAGATTATTTCATTTATCTTGATGGGATATTTTTATATCCATGTTATATATATTTGTATATATAAATATGTATTATATATAATCTATATATTTTTTAAAATATATATTTATATTTTTGGCTTTTGCAGTATGTTGCTTTATTTTAAGTGTCCACCCTCTTGGTTGTCTGTCTCTTCTCCACAGTGTCATGTTCCTCCAGTTTGTCCCCAAGACTCACCTCTTCTTCACAGCAGGAAAAGACAAGAAGATCAAGCAGTGGGACGCTGATAAGTTTGAGCTCATACAGACTCTGGAGGTGATTATTGTTGTTTTTATCGCCCGTGGTCTGAGGCACATCATGGGTTGTTTTCTCTGTTTGACAGCGTTCTTCTTGTTCCAGGGCCATCATCGTGAGGTCTGGTGTCTGAGCCTCAGCCCCAGCGGCGACCACATCGTGTCTTCATCTCACGACAAGTCGATGCGTCTGTGGGAGAGAACCAGAGAGCCCATCATCCTGGAGGAGGAGAGGGAGATGGTAAGATATTCAATCCACTGATGTCCACTGATATTAAGTTTCTTCAAATTAAAGTATATTTGCTTGTTTTATTACAGGAGCGCGAGGCAGAGTTTGAAGAGAGTTTTGGAAAAGAAGATGCACCTGTGGTGAGTATTCAGTTTTGTTCCTCCTGCAATACTTCATTTTCTTTTCTTTAAATAGAAACAGTTTGTATGAACTTTACTTTTCATCAGACTATGGAGGTTGGTGAATCACAATAATCTGATTTATTTACCATTTTTTCCATCACAGGTTCCTGGAGAGACTCAAGGAGAGGCAGCACCAGCTGGTAAAAAGACAGTGGAAACAGTCAAAGCTGTGAGTTCCACACAGGGGCTTAAATATATATTCATATGTATTTTTATGTACATATATTTATATGTGACAGGAAGATGAGACAAGTGTGGTTTAATTTTTGACTTTAGTTTGGCAAAAGTATAATCCTACAGAATGGCATATACATTAGTTTGTAAACTTTTAAGAAGAGCCAAATCACTACTTCATTTGTTTGTGATTCTTATTTACAGGCAGAGAGAATAATGGAGGCTCTGGAGCTTCTTAAAGAGGAGCGGAAGAAGCTGGAGGAGCATAAATATGCCTGTCGGCACGCAGGGCATGAGGTGAAGTTTTATTCCTAATTCACAGATCATCTGCCCTACAGCTTTTTTTATTATCCCGTAATAACAATGGCACCCCCTGGTGGCAGATTTCTTGAAAGGTCATTGCTTGAAAAGAAATGGAAAATATGCGTGGCTATAATTGAAAACCTCTTCTAATATTTTTTTGCAGCTTCCTCTGCCCAAACCAAACCCTATCCTTGTGGCCTTTGGGAATATTTCAGTACGTTATTATGTATATTAAGTTACCTGCAGAAATTTGAGTATTATTATAAGAATTAGATTTTTTTTCCAGCAGCTGTATTTGACCATGACATTGTTCTTTCAGCCGTCCAGATATGTCCTAGATGTGATAAGGAAGGTTAGATCCAGGTGAGCTTCGTTCTTGCTCATGAAGTTGATTCTTACCTGCACCTGTGGGTTCATGTGAATTCCACTCATTGTAACTTCTCATCACCAGCGAGCTGGAGGTTTCTCTGTTGGTGCTGCCATTTTCTTACATCCCTGAGCTGCTGACCCTCTTCAGCAGTTACATCCATCAGGGTCTGGAGGTGGAGCTGGTCTGTCGCTGCCTCTTCTTCCTGCTCAAGTGAGTGGAGAATGAAGTTTTTTATATTATGTCAAGGTTGGCCTGGGGAAAAAAGCCTAAATTATGTTTTGTTTTGACGAACATTTACAGTAATTTTGTATCCAACTGTCTGTTTTCCTCCAGAATCCACTTTGGTCAGATCTCCAGTAACCAGATGCTGCTGTCTGTCATTGACGAGCTGAGGATGAACACACTGTCCAAAGTTAAAGAAATCAGAGTGAGTGGAAAAAAGAATCTGTTATTCACACTTAGCCAAAAACAAAGTCTGATGTTTTTTCAAAGGTAGTTTTAACAAAAGATTTGGTAAAAACCCAGCCCCTAAGTAGCTCAAACCCTAAAAGTAACCTTATCCTAACTAACCGTAACCCTTACTTGAACCTCTGACCTTATCTCTAATCTTATATTTAAGAGCAAATCATATTTTTCTTGACTTCCTCAATCTGTTTTCTTCTTCACTTGATTCAGAACATGATGGGCTTCAACAGTGCCGCAATGCAGTTTCTGCAGCGCCAGATCGAGAGCAAGGAAGACGTCATGTTCTTCGCCGACGCCACGGGACGACTGCAGGAAAAGAAGAAGCGGAGGAGGAAGAGGGAGAGGGTTGTCCTCACAATTGCATAAAGCATAACAAACTGTATCTGTAATAACATCTTCTCTTGTCTTTTCCTGGTTCTTTTCTATGAGAGGAGTCAGAGAATCAAGTTTGTGCTCATTGTATGATCTGATGTAACGCTCACAAATAAAAGGAGTTCGGATTTTTCTCACACGTCTTCAACATTTGTAGGAGGCTTTAAAAACAAAACGAATCGCAGGCAGTGTATAAACAGAGCAGCTCTACATCTCCATAATAAATATTTAATAGATACAACTCATGCTTTAAGCAGCGGCAGGCTGCTTAAAGCATGAGTTGTATTTCTACTTTGCCTGATTCACACACAGAGCAATGTACACTGAGGGCAAGTTTGATTTAAGATGGTTTCACTCTCAAGTCTAAAGGGAGTCGTTCAGGACCGGAGCCAAACCAGGCCAAGGATGGTCCGGACATGTTAGCCGTGAGAGGGAAGGGGGTTTGAATCCCTGTTAGAGAACTACCTAAGCCCCCCAGACCTCCTGGGTGGGACCACACTGTCCCACACAGAGAGATTCCAACCATCCTCTGCTGGAATCAGGGAGATGTGGCCTTGATTTTACAGCTTCACAAATGTAACTTGGCCTCAATTTATGACCCCGGAGCTTCGGTATATGTGCGGAATATAATTCATAACTGGGAAATTTGGCTCACAGAACCCTGGGCTACACATTTACTCAGACTAAATGAGCTTCACAAAACTGGGGTGAGTTTTATACCTTATTTTTTTGGTAGGCCTTTTGCTAATTATGCTGTATTGAGTTTTATTTGAATATCTCATGGCTAACTCTTACATAACTTTTTATTACATTTTTAACCTACTATTGGGGAATGAGTATACTGGTGTTTTAACAAAGATTGGTAGGTTTAGTTTGACTTTGAGTTCTGAACAATAATTTACTTATTTTTATATTTACTGTCGTAGCAGTAAGTAGTGTTTTTTTGATTGTTTGTTTTTGATTCCTGAACTGATATTCTGGGATTTTTATATTTACTGTCGTAGCAGTAAATAGTGTTTTTTTGATTGTTTGTTTCCTTTTGTTTGATTCCTGAACTGATATTCTGGCCAGCATTCAACCATGTCTGGCTTTCAGACTTTTTTTTGTTTGTTTTGGCTGTTTTTGCTCTGGCTAGCATTCAGCTAATTAACTTAATTAATTACCACATTAAAAAGAAATTAGTTATCTCAGTTATTCCTAAAAACAACATTTTAATCTATTTTGCTTTGATCTCAATGAAATTTATTTTTTTAAAAATAGTACATGTTACCTTTCAGGAAACATTTCAATCCACACATGACACTCCACAAAAAGTGTTTGATTCCTCAACCTTTTTTAACACAGTGAAATAATGAAACCACCAGTAAAAACAGCCTGCTTTGCTTTTCTTGGTCAAATCTCACAGTGGACAAGAAACAAATTAACTCTGTATTTACAGGGCTTTAAAAAGGAGGGAGTGTGTGGGTCTGGGCTGTTTTATAGACCTGGACCCAGTGTTAAGGCTGTAAATGTCACACCTACCAATATTAAAAAAAAAAAAAAAATCCTAACCACACTTTAACACACACACAGGCACAGACATATTCACAACAGTGTCACAGTGTTAGAACCAGACGCTGTTTAAATTAACATCAGTCTATGTGTAAAGCAGGGAAACGCAATAAGTCAAGCCCTTTATTATGTTAGTTTTACCATTTTTGCCCCGATATTTGACAAGAATGTGACAAAGTTCTGTTTTCACATTAATTACATGGCAGGTTAAGTATAAAATGTGTCGAGGTGGCAGACGTCCAAAATGTAACAGTCAACTGCATTGGTCTGAAACCAAAAAAAGCTTAGCATTGAAAACTAGCTTTTCAAGGGTTCTTTTCACGCAAGTTAAATAGGGTTTTGATTAATTTACTTTCAAGGGTTCTTTTCACGCAAGTTAATTTAGTAAACTTTAGGTTTTGATTAATTTAGTAAACTTTTAGTTATAACTAATTATCTAGCTATCTTGGTTACTTTTTTTCATGGCTGATGTTCAGCTTTTGCCGTAAAATAAAAAAAAAGACGAGGCCAGCTTTCACAATGTCTAATTACTTGGCCAACCTTTAGATATTTTGTTAACCTTTCAGCATTCTTAAAACTAAATAATTCACATGTTTTATTTATTATATTTTATCTATCACTGAATTGAGTAGACATGTTTTTTTTTTGTAAATCTTTAGGGTATTTTTAAAATAAGGTTATATTTATTATTTATCTTTCCCATATCCCCTTGCTGTCAGTGTATTATTGGTTTAGTTTTAAGTTAAAGTTGAACTTTGTTGGGCCTCTTATTATTATTACATAGTTTAGGTAAAATGTTATTATTTAATTTAATGTTAAACCGAACTTATATTAATATTTATGTATCAAAAAGTAATTTGTTTTGATACTTAGACATGTGTTAGTGATTTTAACATAATTTAAATTGTAGCCTTGCATGGTCCCAAATACCCAAAACACCTTTTTGTTTCCGCAAACAGAAGAGGTTTTATTGTTTCTCAGAACAATCTAGAACTGGACCTTTGTTTGAAGGAAACCAGTGCTGGTCATTCAGCAGCCCAGGCTTTTCTGGCTTTTATAAATTATGTGCTCTAAAAAAAAGGGGGGGATTTCAGTGTCCGAATAATTAGATTAAATTTATTACATTAGGCACTGTTTAGTCGTGACGGAAAATCGTAAAAAATAACTCGTAAATTTGACCGGAATGACAGCCAAAGCATACAAAATATTTTATTTGCGCGAAAGGAAACATTTTATAGCACTGAGAACTGAAGTTAGAGTAAAACCTCTTTTTTGTCGCTGTAGAACATACCGGATTTCGACAAGAACCACAAAAGTAACATTTAACATGTACAATACACAACATATTCTATTATTCAAGTTTTCAGGGAGCCGTTGTTTACTCCGTCTATAATTCCTTCGTAAATTTCGGTTATTATAAAAATCCATTCTAAACCCTGAAGTTCAACCTTCAACCAGAACACAATGGCGAACACAATGGACCGATAACTTCTCCCTCTCAGTCGCTAGATGGCAGTCTTGCCTTTGTGGTTTAGAAAGTTTCATTGTTTGCGGAAGTTCAAATCATGTTCTGCTTCGTATTCACGTCTTCTTATATTTTTACTGAGCTTCTTTAAAATACATTGGCAAATAAAGTGTATATACAGCACATTTACTACTTAATACCTATAAATAAATCAAAACTGACGACGTACCTTTGTTTTGTTATCCTGTCACAGCCCCGTCGTGATGATTGAGCATGGCTCCTGTGAACTTGTTCCATTAAATGACGCACAATGATGCTTCTGTGGGCAAAACAAACAAACAAAACAATTATTTTAATAAATTTACAAATAAAAGCCTGTTAGCCTGCTGTAAAAAACAAAACAAAACAAAAGACTTCCTGTGTGCCACCTTAATTATCCTTCAATCAGTCTCCACAGCGCCACTCAGGCGAAGTATGAGAATGGCTCCACCACTAACCTCCAACAAGGAACTGTGACCCCAAAGGTTTAAATAGACAATTATATAAATGTTTCATATTTTTTTTATATTATCTCAAAATGGACATGAATGGGCCTTGTGTATTATCAGACCAGTTTATCATTAAATGTGAAAGGTTATACACTACACTATGGCAGTGTATGCCTCGTCTATTTTTTTGGAACTTAAATAAATTGCATTCAATAAAGTTCATATGAGAATCACTGCTTCACTGCTGCAGTTTACCACACTGAAGTGTTGCATGTTAAACACAGCTGTCACCTCCTGACAGATGACTGTTCCTTGTCTCTGCTCTCGGCCACAGCTTGTGCCTTCCTGTAGCAGCCAGTAAAATGTGTTACTTTACAGCCGGTATTTACATTACGTTTTGATGGACGGGAGATAGCATTACTATATGTGGTCTACACCGCTATAGGCTGTCATCATACGGTCCACATGACATTATATACTGCAGGATAGGACGGGCCCCGAGCTGCTGACTTGATTTGGTGGTGTCTCCATCTCTCTGCCAAACATGATAGGAGCTATAAATGTGTACGAGCCATTCTCAGGATAGATGCTGTTGGCAGAGTCGGGCGTCCAGTTTCAGCAGTGTGATTCCACTGGCAGTTAGAGTAGTGTGGAGAATGATGGACAAACTGTTCAACTTGTGTTCAACTTACAGACACGAGTCCACTTCTACTCCCACCTTATATCAGAAGTAGGTCGTCTCTTTCACTGTGTTCTTTATTTGAATGTACTATACTTTGTGAATACTTAACATTGAAGTGTTTCTTTCAATGTCAAGTATTTACAATTTACAAAAAATAAATATACGCAAATATCCCAGAAAGTCTGACTAATAATGGGTTTTCATCCAGTGCTGTTCAGACTGGGAGCTTTACGGGTTTCTGTGAGGCAGAAAGAGTCGTCATTGCTGCACATGTTGAGGTCGGGGCCGGGAGCTCAACCTCCTCTCATCTCAGCGGAAGACGGAAACATGTTTTAATATCCA